AAAAAAAATTAAGTTTGAAATCTTCTTTTTTTTTGCATGGTCGACGAATGGTAGGGTAGCAAGCCCAACAGTTGTTGTGTAATTATTAGGTGGATCCCACTAAAATGCTATTGGTGTGTGAAATGGTAGGAGATCAAATGCAAAATGTTAAATTTGAAATTGATGGCTTATGTTTTGACACTTGGAAATAGATTGTTGTGTAAATAGTGTAAGCCGTTGCTCTTGTAGGAAAATAAAAATAATAAAAATGATGAGTGGCTGAGCCACTCCTAAGCCTAAAGTTGCCCTACCCCCCCCAGATTTTTATATCTCCCCTATCATATTATATATAACATTTAGAATTTGTAATAAACAATTTATAATTAAAACTTATAATTTAAGTTAAAATTCCTTCTAAAATAAATTGGACATGACTAAAAATATTTAGCTTTAAACATGTTATTATTGAATACTTATGTGTTTTATATACTTGTATTTTCTATTTCAGCCCCTCCCCCACCCCCCCTCCTCCCCCAACTTTACAATTCTAGCTCTGCCCTTGAAAATGATGATCATGACATACCATGTATCTCTTCCTTTTTTTATGTTTGTTTATCGAGAAAATTAGGGCCGCGTATGTACCTGGTAAGCTTGTAAGAGGGTGAGATTGATGATAGAGGGGTTGTTGGATTGGAGACCGGCAATGGATTCACTGAGATTGAGGCTCTGAAAAGATTGTTGAACAGTGACAGATGCCAGAGTATCATTGGTGGCCAAGAAGGTTGGCCACGTCAGCTTGACGCAGTTGAAGCCCAACGACGCAATGCGCTTCGAGATGGCGTCCACCGGCTGTTTGCTCAAGCCTTCGGCAATGACAGCTTCGAGATGCGACACCCAGTTCACGCAGGCCAGCTTCACACGTTGCCCTTTATAGTCAACGATCCACCGTGAGTTGGTGGAGAGAGTAGCTGAGACTGTTGCAGGTAAGACTGCGACTGTGAGAAAAGAAGTGATGATTGCGAGGAAGGAGAAAAAGATGATTGGGGTTGAGCTAGAGCCAGCCATGGTTGCGGTTTGTTGTGTTGTGATTGATATGTGGATGATTTTTTGAGAATTTACGGGACCTCGATCTTCTATTTATATAGTACTAGTTTAAAGCCCACCATAATCATATACTACAACAAATAAAGTGCTACTATTTCCACCCCTCTCATATTTCTCCTCCCTACCATCTAAATTTGAATAAACACAATCATATCTTTCCACCCACCATTATTCCTAAAATATCCTTTAATTATTGTTTGTGCCCAAATTTTGCAATTTTTCCCAATTATGGCCAAAATACGTGATGCAGGCCAAATACAGAAAAACTCGAAGATATTCTCGAAAATATTATCTTGATTTTATGAGAGAATCCTAATATGGCCAAAATATGGCTTATTTGGAAGGAATTATTGAAGATATTATCTTGATTTTATGAGATAATGCTAATATTGCCAAAATATGGCTTATTTGGAAGGAATTCTTGAAGATATTATGTTGATCTTATGAGATAATTCGTATAGGAATTATCTTTGATTTACTTGGAGATATTATCAAAATCCCAAATCTTGCCTAAATATGTATTTGTATTACTTCAAATACAAGGGAAGTTGGCATATCACTTAGTGGTGCGTTTGGATGAAGGAAATAAACTTGGGATTTGGACAAAAGTCAAAATTTCTATATTGACATACACAAATTTCCGTGTTTGGATAAAAGAAAATAGAAATTTAGAAATTCCACGTGAAAAAAATATGGAATTTGGAGGTCATGAATCCTAACTTTAAATTCTATCTAAAAGTTATCATTTCTAAAATTCCAAGTGAGTGGAAATTTTAAAATATTAAATTTCATGTTTAAATCCATCAGTCCCGATCTCTTGGACTACAGGGGTCCAAGAGATTTGTGGTCACTCACCGTTGGATGTAAATTCAACGGTTCACTCACTCTTGTGCTCATTTTAAGAAACTTTTTTGAACCATTGAATTAATATCCAATGGTGGGTGACCACAATCTCTTGGACTCCTGTGGTCCAAGAGATCAGGATTGTTAAATCCATTAGCTAAATAAGAAACTTTACAAATTCTAGAACATTAATTTAAATCATTTTAAATTCCATCGTTTATGAATTCCTTATTACTTTTAAATTTCCTTATCCAAACACACCATAAGGCAAAGATATTTGAGGGAGTTGAATTAGCCAACTTTATGGCTTATGTTCAGGGAACAAAGTTGGAGCAAGATACAAAAAATGTGGAGATAATTATTGGTGAATTAAGAAGATGATATTATGAAGAGACATGCTTCCATCGGGAAATAATTCTCCAACTTAGTGACCAAGTAGTATTGCTCACCAAGGAAGCCAACTACTATATAAGAGGATCAAGATAAGAAGAAAGAGGCACAACTTTTCAACAACAAACTCAACACAAAACCCTAATTCCTTCTTCAAGGTCGGTTTATTGTCTATTGCTCTGCCAAGCCTCCTTGGTATCAATGTCATCGATTGAAGGTTCTGTTTTGACAAGCATTGCACCATATAGATCCGATACTTGATTGCCCACTTGATCCCTAACCTCAGTACTAAGTTAGAAGTGATAATAGGTGGTGGTAACTTGTAGTTCTGATCGAACTTGCTGATTTGCATTCATTTGTTTTACTATTTATTTATCTTTACCCTGCTTTTTTTCCCATTCCATTGTATTAGAGAGATTATGAAGTCCTTTCTTGTCTTAAGACACATAAAAGAACCTCAATTGGGGTAGTTTATCATTCTAATTCACAATCGTTTGATTTGAGTTATTTACTTAGTGCACAAGTTTTTTTATTATTATTTCTTTTAGTCTATTAGAATTCTAACACTATTAATAGTGGCACACCCTCGCAACTCACACATTACCAAACTCACACATTACCAAAGCCCTGGCATTTTCAAGACAAACAATTATTAATTCAAGCAAATTCTCTTTGCTAATCATTTGTGAAGTCCCATCATGAACATGATACTTTATGGTTTATATAAACAAGTAAGTGCAGAACGTCTAATGTTTCTTTGCCAAGAAAATAACTTAATTAATCTCTCCATGTGAGTCAAAAAGCAGGTGGCACCATTAATTAATTTTTTTTCCTTTTTCACAGGAATGAAGCTGACAACCTTCAAACTTCATTTGTGATACTCTTCACATCCCTCACTATTTAATTATGCTAAATAAGTGAAGTATTAAGTGTAAAAACTTAATATTGGTAAAACCATAAGACCTAATTCATGACCCAAGATCTTGAATTTCATGATTTTTACAATAATATTAGGCAAAAATTCAATTAGATTTAAATTACATACATACCTTGAATGATTAGTTTTCTACCTATCAAGATATTTGTCTTGAGCGATTCATAGGCGAGCCGTTAGTGTAGAGGAAATAGGTTCCTCTCTCTAATACATGTCTTCATCAGTATACACATAAGATGGGTATGTGCACTATTATAGGCAAAGAGAGGACCCGTTTCCTAGTAAAGCCCATAATCAACTACCATCCATCATGATAACAAAATAGAAAACTACGTCTCTTTATTTGAACAATGGGATTGTTTCTAAATATTAGTTATTAAACTCAAAACCATTCATATGTCACATGAACCGTAAAATTATAAAAATAAGGTGTTGTTAAACGAACCCTAAAATTAATTGAGTACACCCTACTACCAAACTATTTATTGAATTACTAATTTAACCAAATATAAAATGACCAAAAAGGATATATTGAATTGTAAAACAAATGTAATTTTAATAAGTACACCATACTCACCATATTCAACCCTAATTAAACATAAGGGGGAAAAACACAAGTAGGGGAAATAACAATTTGTTTCATCATTATTTAGTAATTTAGTGATTCAAAGAAGTCTCATGGATGCTTCAGACATGTTGAGGGAGTCATCAAAAGAGGTATCAACTTTGTTTTTTTTATTTTTATGTATTTTAATATTTAGGTTAATTTAACATGAGCATAGTCAGGGACGGATCTACAGAGGAGCAAAGGTGGTCATGTGACCCTTGCAACTCTGGGATCTGCCATTAGAAGGGAGAAAATTGACCCCTACAAACTACTCGACAAAAGTCCCCAAAGAGCGCGCATCGCAGATCCTCCCCACCGCGCAGCATCCTCCAGCACGTAGCGCTGCTTGCGCTTCCTTTTTTTTTCATTCCCTTGCAGTCAAAACGACGTCGTCCTATATATATATATATATTATTGTTATATATTATATGGTTCTTTGTCTACTGGTCCAATCAGATGAAGACACACGCATGCATGATATCTCCCACTTCCTTTTTTGTTTATTCTTTATACCCTTTTGTTCCTTCGTTGCTGCTTCTGGTCCACTTTTTCTTATGTATTTTTTTCATCTCAAATTCCCTTTGGTCTACTGTGTTTCATTTCCTCCTCTTTGATGTAGTTTCATCTCAAAACGACACCATGTAGGACCAGGTCACTTAACTTTTATTTTATTTTATTATCATGGCCCATTGGACAAGTTTTTTTTTAAATTTCCGAAATATGCATATAACAATCTAATAAACATGTTCCTCATAAAAACAAAATTACATGTATGTAACTTTTATTGCATTTTCATTCATTTCTAAGGGTATTCTATATGTAAAAAATTGTAACCTTATATATGTTGACCCCCGAAGAGCAGATTTCTGGATCCGTCCCTGAGCACAGTTCAACGATCAATTTTAATTTCATTTACTTTCTTTCGTATTCGACCAATAAAATATGCAGTTACCAAAAAATTAGTTGAATAAGAATTAGTTGTACAATTTAATCGTATTGTATTATTCATAAATTTTTCTTATTAAAATAACTTAATATTCAAAAGGCTTACGCCTCAATGCCTCAAGGCTTACGCCTCGCATAGCGCTACTAAAAACGCCTCGCCTATACGCCTCGCCTTTGAAAACATTGATCCCACCTCTGATGAAACTGCTAAGAGGCAATGAAAACTCACAGTTGCATGGACTGATTCTCCTATGCTACCTTGCATTACACTCTCGCAATACCGACGATTTGGAACCGACTAGGGTGTTGACTGCTCTTGAAGGGGCAGACCGTAGTGCGCTGCCTCAACATCCCGAGTTGAGAGAATTGGTGGCGAAGGCAACATATCACCTCAATCTGTACCACACTGGAGGTCATTCTCAAAGGCTGACATACGTGCCTTGAAAACAAGTTCAGCGGGCAAGAGGACTGAAGTTTGTTGCAGGAATATCAGTGTGCTGTGATGCAGTAGTAGGATAAGTTTGATACTTTTGAAGGGGAAGGAAACAGGGCTCATACAAACATAGTTGATTTATAAGATAAATGCCAAAGTTCAGAATTAATTGTTCTTGAGAAAAAAATAGAGATGACTTGTTTATATGAAAAGAATACTCTATCCTTTGTTCAGTCGCATCCTTTCTCGTAAGGTTCTATTTTCTCAGCCTTATTTTGCGGCAATTGCATTTCTATGATTGCTGATATGTGTGAATGGATGGATCAATATCTCTGTTCTCTCGTATATGATAGTTTGCAGGATTATTAGAGTTGGTTATCAAGAACATTGGGCCCATCTAACCTTCAATCAGTTGTATGTGAATCGATCAATCTTTTGCAGATGTAGAGTTGGTTGCCTACCCTACTTTGTTTAGAGGCCCCTCAATTATCTTCATGTGGAGACGACGTCGTTTCACTTTGAAAAATCTACCAGACTTCTCACATCATCGAAGAAAAATATTTATAATAACTCTTGGACTTGGACACGATAATGGCTTTATCTTTGGAGCAAACTCGTTTAGCGAATTATTTACAAAGAATGTTTTAAATACAATTGAGTTTTCTTATACAAACAAAAATCTCAAGTTTGCCACCTGGAACTCCAAAATCAATACGGTCCTCAACTAGCAGGTTTCCAACACATGCCCTAATTACATAAAAGATATCTGATAATGGCTTTAGTTCAATTTTTCAGTGGGATGTTTATTATAAACATTGTACAAGCAATACAATTCGAAACTTCTATCACTCTCTGCTCAAAGCCTCCAATTTCAATCCTATGATTATGATCAACAATAAATTCACTAAAAATATAAACAGGGAAAATCAAACCTTGCATATAGGAAATTCCCAAATTGCACTTCCCAGCTAGGTCTCCTAGGTCTGTAGCATCTACCATAGCCATGGGCCAATCCGGAGAGGCCTGTTGATTGCTTCGGTTACTACTTGGACCTTAGCTTAAGTTACGCAGCCCAGCCTTTGGAAAACTTCATTCCAAGGTGGCCCACTTAGCCGGAGAGGCCTGTTAGATTGAGTCTTTGAGATAAAGCCGTTTGCTGTTATGGGAACAACCCTAGTAGGGTTTATATTTTAAGATTGATGCCTTAAAAATCAATGGAGGATGGAGCAGATATAGTTGAGAACTCAGCCAGAGAAAACCAAAAAAATCAATCAATCAATCAATTTGCTGGGGAAAGGACATGAGAGGATTCAAAGACTGTGGCGTGGGTATACTGGTATTGTTGACCAAAAACAAAAAAAATCCTGGTGAGATGATTCCAAGGAGTAGTTGGCAAAGCAAAGGATTTTGATTACTGTACATTCAGCCACATATTGTAGTTTCTACTAGAGCTTTCTACTAGCTACAATTTACTAGTGTTTAGGGAATACAACCAGAGACTTTGCATTCTAAATTATTCTAGAAAATTCTGCTAACTTGTAAAAATCCCCACCAAATGTGCATTAATGTTTAACACCCCTCCTTAATGCGCATTCGTGTGATTTCGAGCATGTTTCATAGCATTTCGAATCTTAGTTTTGGAAGTACCTTAGTGAAGATGTCTACGATTTGCTCCTCTTGTCTTGCAGTACTTGAGCTCAACTTCTTTGTTTGTTGAGACTTCTCGTAAGAAGTGATGCTTGATGAGGATATGCTTTGTCCTGCTGTAGATCACTAGATTATTTGCCATTGTTATAGCAGACATGGAGAATGACATCCATTAGATAAGATAAGTCCGATGATTCTATTTCGAATCGACAAAGAAGGATTGAATTTTAACATTTTATATGTGCATAGTAGGATAGAGTTGCAAGACTTAATACCAAAAAATGTAAAGTTAAATTTCGGAAAATTTATAAAATAAAATATAAAATATAATGAATAGTTTAACTGCTAATAGTAAGGATGAATTGAGAACTTCTTTTGTTAATCAAATAACAACTTCAATCGATAATTTTCAATTAACAACTAAGACATCAACAAGACATTCAAATCATCAAGCGACTCTTCAGCTAAATAAGATACATAGGACAAGTTGGACTTGAACTCAATGTCTGCCAACATAGTTTCAATCCAATTTTTTTTTTGGGGTCGAACTATTGCAAATGATTTTTGTTCAATGTTGAGACTTGAAAGAGATTGAACTTCAATTCCATATTGGATTGGTTAATAAAGAAAAGTAAAACCTAAACTCATATAAGATAAGTAAAACGACAGGTCGGAATTCAAATTAAAAAAGAAGAAGACAAAGGAAAATTACAGGTCGGACAATTTTAGCTCTACAAGAACTTGGAGAACAAGCTATTTTCTGATGCTCTTGCAACCGAAAGGTTATGTGATTTTGCTCTTCCACTTCTAAACTTCACTTCAAGTAAAACCCCTTCTGATCACTACCTAAACCCCTCTCTCTCTCTCTCTCTCTCTCTCTCTCTCCCCGATGGACATCGATTTCAAGGAGTACCAATTGCGCTGCCAACTCCGAGGCCACGAAGACGACGTAAGATCTCTCACCCACAAAACCCTTTTTCATTTTTTGCGCAAAATTTGTTTGAATCTACAATCCTGCTCATGAATGATCAATTCTGTATTGTTTTAGACCCACAGAGATTTGAAATTTACTAATTAGTGTTTAGTGTTTAGCAATGAATTTGTTTACTGAAAAAAATGATGAACAATGAATTAGGTTCGTGGAATTTGTGTTTGCGGAAATGCGGGTATAGCCACCTCGTCACGTGATCGAACTGTGAGGCTGTGGTCCTTGGACCCTTCCGATGAAAGGCGGTACTCGGAGTCGAAGATTCTGCTGGGGCACACCAGTTTTGTGGGCCCATTGGTGTGGATTTCACCCAATGAGGAATACCCAGATGGCGGAATTGTGTCCGGCGGCATGGACACGATGGTATTGGTGTGGGACTTGAAGACTGGGGAGAAGGTGCAAACTCTCAGGGGCCATCAGTTGCAGGTCACCGGCCTCGCTTTGGATAATGGAGACATTGTCTCATCTTCTGTGGACTGGTGAGTTTTCACCTTTTATGTTATTCCAAGTTTGCTGTAGGATGGGCTGGATTAACTTTTACATGTTGTAAACTTCGTTGAGGTTTGTGGAAACATGTTGTGTTCAAGAATTGATCTTTGTGCTATCTTGATTTTGCGAATAAGCAAATTTGGTTTGGAGTCTCCATCTGAAATTAGTAAATATGTCTATCAAATCTATGTTGCCTGTTTTGCTAAAATAGATTAGTTTTACATTTGTATTTAGTTATAATTATGCATTTATATAATTTTTTTCCTGGACCATTTCCTAGGCATACTGTGCTGGTTTTACTCCTAATATATTAAGCTATGGTGACACTAGGTATTAATTTTCTTTTTATGTCCTTTATACAGTACTTTAAGACGGTGGAGGAAGGGCCAGTCGTTAGAATCATGGGAGGCTCATAAGGCACCGATCCAAGCAGTTGTAAAGCTTCCTTCGGGCGAGCTTGTCACGGGTATGGTTATTCACTTTTTGCGATCTTTCTTTTCTTTTTCCCCCCAAAAAGTATTGAGGTGTCGGTTTCACTAAATTTATGGACCTCCTTTTTAACAACCCCTTTTCTGGCTTGCAATCGTAATTATTTGATTCATTTTGTATGCATGTGTTTTTGTTAAAAGTTAGTAGAACTGTAGAAGCACACTAGTCAACTGTCAACTCTTAGGCCTAGTTGAGCCAGTGAACAATTGATATCCGGCCATTGAAGAACGCTGTTGGACTCGTGATCTAAGACTGCAGCAGTGGTAGGATGGGTAATATTGTGGCTGAAGGAGTTTGCTAAGCCAGCCAGGGATTAGCTGAACACAGTTGTTATGCTTGCTTCTCATGAGCGATTGGCTTGAGTTGGATAGGTTTAAACCTTTGCATGGCATGTGATGCATGGAGGCTGTGTAGCTTTGGGGATTGTAAAGTGGCACATTGCACATTTTAGGCACTCTTTATGTAGCTGATATGTATGCTATGTGATACAATGTTGTTAGGATCAAAATGCTCCATGCTTATGCCCTAGTGGCACTGTAGTTCATTCGAGACTTCAAGTTGGTCATAATGTCAATGGGAACAATTTTAGTTTTGTGAATTCTAGAATGGACACTATAATGCAAAAAATATAAGGCTCAACTATGCCATGGTAAGCTTCCCAAAAACTGTTTTGTTTTGTATGCCCTGCTTACATGTCTACTTCAGTATCTGTTACGTGAGACTGCTTTTCTGAAAACAAAAAATGGCGTGAGGTTTACTCTCATGCCCTCACATGTAGCAAGGTGGCTTATCCATTCCTGTTTCATCTTGTCGTTTTGAGCTGGCCAAATTAATCACATTCTACATAGATTCAAATGCTTGATCCAGCTTTTTCTTTACAATGATGCTGAATCGGTTTTCTCTATCTAGGTTCAAGTGATACTACTTTAAAACTTTGGAGAGGAAGTACATGCACTCACACTTTTGTTGGGCATACAGGTGATTTTATTTTTGTATGTTACTTTTATTAGGCCATCTAGGTCCTGAATAAATGCAAAAGTGTCTGGGCATTTTTGACGTTGTGGCTTACCTAATAAGAAGATAAAGAGATTGCTTTACTATTCTAAATCCCAAATTCTGATTGCTATATTAATAGTATACTAAACTAGACCTAGAAAGATAACATTTGGATTACAAGTTGCTACAAAGACTATTTGACTTGAAGATAACTTGCACTCCTGACTTGCTTAGGATATCTCTCCCTCTTTTTATAAAATAATTTTTTAAAAATATATTTAAAATATAATATATAATATATATTTTTAAAATTTGTTATAATAAATCAAATGCATAGCTCTATTTAGAAGAAATGACTTGCACATAATGTTTTGCAGTTACTTATGATCTATACATACTAAT